GGGGGGGGGGGGGGGGGGGGGGGGGGGGGGGGGTACGGGAGGTTTTGGGTTATTAGGGGCCTGGAAGCACACAAAACACTCGTCGTCCGAAAACAGAAACATCGCAAATGCCAAGATGTAATGATCGAAGCAGAACGCAAACCAATATAGCATGGATAATAGCAAAAATCCGACACATCGTGTCGAAGCCCCACCAGTTTGTGGGAAGAAGTACCAACCCGAAAATGCCGACGAAAAAGCACGCTAAAATACACTGGAAAGCTACAATCTCCGAAGTAGCAAACTGAAGACAAGTGCCTACTGCAAAGTACACTATAATACAACATCACGAAACACTACGTCTGCGCAGAAAAGCACCCACTGCAAAGTGGACTGTAATACAACCTCACGAGACACTACGTCTGTCATGGATAACAACAAACTAAAGTACACTGAGAAAGTCACGAAAATGCAAGTCCATAATCCGTCAACGATCGTCGTGCACACGCGGATCTCGCTGGGACCGATGAGAAACTCCTCCGTGGGACCGACCCCTGCCGCCTTCTCGATCTCTCTGACGCTGGCCGCCTCGTCCGCCAGCGGGAGGCTCGGGAGTGACGGGAAGCTCGTCGGGATCGTCGTCCATAATGACTCTCCTGCCTCTCACCGTCCTGATGGCTGCTGCTGCTAGGTCATCACGTCGGTGTGCCTCGCGTGCCATAGGCAGACCGTCAGTCCCTGAAGTCTCCCCCTCCTGGCGTCGATCTAAGGGCACGTGTTGGGTCTGCCTCAGTCGTGTAACAACATCAGGCTCCTCCAAAATAATCGACGCCTCTCTCAAACCGTACGTCCGCGGCGGATCCACTGCGCTCGTCGTGGCACTGCCTGCACCCTCACGTCTGTCATCACCGTCACCACCACTGCCATCGCCGCCACCCCCTCTACCGCCAAACCCTGCAGCTACAACATCTCGACGTCTCGCGCTCGTGGAAACCCCTATCAAACCTGGCTGACGACCGGCACTCGCCGTCGTCACCCGTCTCGTCTCACTCCATGGTCGATCTGTGCGACCGAACAACATGGTGTCCAACAACTCCCGCGCACGCTGGGTAATGTCTCTCCGTCTACGGGCAACTGACCTCGGGGTGAGGCTGCCGCCCTCCCTCGGAGCTGCGCTCAAGGGTGACGAAGGGCCTGCGGCGCCTCCAGATGGCGCTGCGACCGAACCTCCAGAAGGTAAGTCCCCTGCGACCCCGCCCGATGCCGCTGCGACGGAACCTCCAGAAGGTAAGCCCCCTGCAGCCCCGCCAGATGGCGCTGCGACGGAACACCCAGAAGGTAAGCTGGGGCTGGCTGGCCCCCAAGATAAGTCCTGCACATGAGGCAACTTCCCCTCCCCTGGGACTGACCTCAAAACGCACTGGTCGATCTCCGTCAAATCCCTCCTGCCATGGTCCTCCAACTCCTCAGCGGTCATAAAACCAAAAGGGAGGCTGCCTCGAGGCGTAGCCACATGCCTAATCTCCGGCCTCGTCCGTGACGGCGCAAAAGTAGGGACCGGGGGTATGCACGCGCCCCTGCCTACACGTCGCTCCTCGACCAGGCCATCGCCATGTGCAGGACGCCTAAAACCCTCCAAAAACGGTGCCTGATGTGGCACCACTGGCCCCACAGCAGTGCGAACCACCAAAGTCGGTGACATACCAACGGTCCCCGCTACGGCCCTGTCCCCCCCGGTGGTCGGCGCTATCCCCTCCGCCTGTGCCGATGGGCGAATATCATCAACGCCCACTGACTGCCCCGTCGGTATGTCCTCCAGACCCGGGGACATATGCACGGCACCCTCGACTGAACCCACAGGCAGAGGCACGCCTGCGACCTCCTTCAATGTCTCCTCTGGCCTCCGCTCCATGGCAGGATGCTGCGCCGGCTCCGAACGTGGCTCCTCTGTCGGTGCCAACCCGCTCTCGTGCGTCCCCTGCTGGACATCCACTCCCGTACTCGAAACCTCTGCCAAAGCTGCCTCCCGCTGCGTCGTGTCGTGAACCTCTGCCGGAGTATCCGTATGGGCAGCTGGCCCCGCGTCAACAGACGCCGCCGTAAATGTCCCCAACTGCCTCTGTCGGTCCTCGGCCACAAGACGGGCGAGCTCCTGCGTTCTGGGGTCCCTCTATGCCATGAGGCACGCTCGACGACTATCAAGCCTATCCAGCCTCTCTGCAGATGTCTCTCCAGGGGGTGTCCGGTCCTCATCCCCCTCTGCCCCCAACATCACCTCTGTGCGCATGGCAGGGGAGAAACTACTCGGGTCCGCGAAGCTGATCTGTCCCAATAAGTCCTGGATACCCACACTGATGTCCCCACGGGACTCACTCTCTCCTAGGGCCAGACCCACACTCTCTCCCGGGGGCATACCCATATCGCCAAACTCACTGAAACCACCTCCGCCGCCCATCAGTATCCCCTCAACCGCCGCATCAGCCTCGGCACTGCCTCCACCTCCGGCCAGCGCACCACCATCTCCACCAACCAACCCCTGTCTGTCTCCGTCGTCACCCTGCACCGGCACAGGACCGCCCTCCAATCTGTCCTCCAATCATTGTCTCGGGTCCCTCACCAATCTCTGCAATCGATCCGCAACGGCTGGCTGTCGATGAAGCTGCTCCGTCGAAGTGGGAAGAGCGGTGGATGATGTCGTGCCAGAGCGACCCAGAGGACGATGGCCAATCCCCGACTCTGCCCCCCTCGAAGGTGCAAACCCAAGATCTGTCTCCCGCTCAGCGGGAAGCGAAACAGTGGACGTAGGCCTCGGACGCTCTAAAGGGCTCCCATGACGACCCCCAGACTCCTCCTCCAAATCAACCTGAATGAAAAGGTCATCTCCGTCACTCCGTCTACGGACGTCCTCTGGGTCGCTTCACTCATCACGCTCATCCGCCGCAGGAGTGGTGCTAGCGGGCCCCGCCGGCTCGTCCTCGTCCTCGTCCTCGTTCTCGTGACCCTCGGAATCACTGTCGTCTTGAGGGTACGGGTGCAATGTGGCGGCTCGAGTCCTGAAAATATCGCCCACATCACCCGGAGGAGCTCTGGACCCACATGGGTCTCGCAGCCATGAACGTCTCCGATCCTCGACCTCCTCCCGCGTCCTACTCTCGTCCGTCCCCTTTCACGAGGGGCGAATCCCGATACCTCCCTCCACGTCCAACAACGACTCATCTAGAGTCCACGGCAGCGCGAACCCGCGACCTGCTCGCTGATGAGATAGAAGGCGGACGTTGGCTGAGATCTCAACCAACTTCGCAACCTTCTTGAACTCAAGCCGGTTACGCTTCTTCGTCTGTACACCCTCGTGGACGGTCCAATTCCTCTCTGCAGGAGAGGAGCACGTCCACATGTACATCACACGAAGAGCGATAACCTGCAACTGCGGGGCGCACTGCCCGTACCTCGACCACCAACACCC